GCGGCAGAGAACCACCCACCGGTCAGAGCAGGGCCCCCCGCGCCCCCCACCCAACGTCCCAACATGATGAGCTGGGGGTGCTCAGCAATGGGCTCACTCCTCTGCTGACCTGCCCCCCCTGCCGGTACCGTGTCCCCCCACCCAGGACGATGCCTTTGCACGGAGCAAGGTGTTCCCAGGACCTGGCACTCCCGGCACACCGGGGCCTTTCACCAAGACAGAACCAGCCAAAACTGAGGACTTAAAAAATAAAAGAATCAATGAAAAAATAAAGAAGCATCTCCTCAGGCAGTGCTGACAACTGGTCTAAACTTTGCTCTGCCCTAAAATTCCCACTGCTCACACTGGGGCTGGGACCTGTGAAGGATTTGTCCCCAGCCTTTGCAGCCCCTGCCTGGCTCCGCAGCGCTGGGATGGCACCGTGGGCACTCACCTGGTGGGGATGTCCCCAGGCACCAGCTCCTTGTCAGGCCAGATGTACTTGATGATGATGACTGCTGTGACGTACCACGTGCCAATCACGCTTAGGGAGCTGCGAGAGGGGACAGGAGACCGTCAGCGTGCTACCTCCCCACTCTGCCGAGAGTCTCTTCCCAGCCCCTCCCTGCACGGTCCAGGCCACCCCAGCCCTTCCCACCAGGGCCACCCCTGCTCTCCCTTCCCACGAGAACATGCCAGGCACTGTCCCCACTGTCCCCAGAGCAGATGGCAGTGCAATCTCACTGCACTCAGGGAGTGGCGGATGTGCCAGCAAGGGGATGGGCTGGGTTTGGGGCAGGAGAAAGAGGCGAGTGTTAAAGAAGTGACACCCCTGGGCAGCCCCAGTCCAGCTCCAGCAGCCAGGTTACACCACGGTGCTTGGTGGAGCAGGACTGGCCTGTAGACCCTCTGACCCTGGGACCCTCACTGGCTCTTCTTTCTGCTGGATGGCCAAGAGAGGGGACAATGCAGCTGAAAGTGCCTCTCCCCAGTCCTCCCGGCAAGCAGAAGGGGCGGACACACGCCCCAGAGTACAACACTGTGGCTGCACAGTGCTCAGCAGCTTCTCTGCTTCCCAGATGGGGAAACTGAGGCACAGGCAGGCAGAGGAGGAGATGTCCAACCCCATGGGGGCGAGCAGGCAGACAGAGCACTCGAATCACAGCGTTTTCACTCCTGTCACCTGGAACTGGACTTCAGTGGGTGCTGGCTGGAGCAGCGCAGCCCCCAGCTCCAGAGGGCTCTCCCCACCCACCTGGCATATTTTTGGAAGCCAATCTCCTTGGGGATGGAGAGGGGCAGGATGAAGAGGAAGGCGGTGATGCTGATGGTGAACCTGCGGTCTGTGTACCAGTGGCTGCTCCCAGCTTCCTCAGGCTCCGTCACCAGAGCAGCAATGACTGTGGGGACAGTGGGGTGGTCAGGTTGTCCCCTTCCAGCCGAAGGGACAGCGACTTGTGATTTTTTTCCCCATGGGACACACTTACTCTTGTCCTCCTGGTCTCCGATGATGATGAGGAAAGCGATGCAGGTGCCAAAGGTGTAGACAGCGATGGCCACCTCGCACAGCACGCCGGGCACCTTCCCGCAGACGGCCCACACCACCTCCTGGTAGGTCCGCTCATTGCTGGCCTGCGAGCAGTACGCCAGGATCACCAGGCCTCCAATGATGAAGATCAACATGCACTGGGGTGAAGAAGAGACATGGAGGGGACACTGAGGCAACAGCGTGATGAGATCCCCAGAGCCAGCCTGGGCAGCCACCCCCGAGCACACCGAGCATCTCTGGTGCACCTCAGCCAACGTGGCTTCTTCCAGGAGCCAGGTCCTCCCCAAGCCCCTTCGAGGGCTCAACACGTTCCCACCCAGGGTGGGACAGGGGACTGTCCTTTTCCCACCCTCTCACCATCTGCAGTGCAATGCCCGCAGCCACGCCACCAGCCATGCTGAAGGCAGCGGGGAAGTTCAGCAGCCCGGCCCCAAGGGCAGCATTGACCACGATGAAGATGGCTCCCAACGCTGACGTGGCCCCCAGACCGTTGCCTTGGCTCTCTCCGCTCTTGGGCACCGTTTCCACGCTGGGGCTCTGCAGGAGTCTGGCCCGTTCCCCAGCGTCAGCGCTCCACTCCCAATCCTTGTAGTCGCTGTTGAGGCTCCTGGTGCCCTGAGCCATCGTCCCTCCTAGGGTGGCACACGCCACCCCCCACGTCCCACTAGCACTCCCGCAGTGGGCTCAGCCGGCCGCCTCGAGGAGGGTCCTCTGCCAGTGCTGGCTCCATTGGGCAGGGAAGGCGGCAAGCAGGCAGGCTGGGACTCTGTCAGCGTGGTGGCCAGGCACTTCCCTGCTCCTAGAAGGGGACAGAGAAGGACACAGTAAGTGTTAGGGTACGTTAACAAGGGACAACCCAGGCATCAGACAGGGGCAGAAAGGAAGTGGGTTCCCTGAGTCTCAGCTTGGGGGTCGCAGCACTTGGGTGTCCTCATGCCAGCAGAGATATGGCAGAACTCACTCCTCATCCCCTAAATCCAGGGTGAGGACGCCACTGCCATCGGACGGGGGACAGAGCCCTGGCCGCAGGGTGGGGAGCTGCAGCCTCACACACCACTCGCCTTCCTGCGGGCAGGAGACCCAGCATCACGGCTCGCTTCCTGGTTTCCAACCCCAACTCCTGCCAGCTCTGCAAGAACCGCCGTGCACATGCTCTGGGTAAAGGTCAGGGCGGGGATCAACGGGAACGACTTGTGCCTGCAGCAGAAACACCGAGTCACCGGGAAAAGCAGGACTGGGCCCTTCCAGGGCAGCCCCAGGGTGACCACCAGCACGAGAGCAGCTCGTGTCTCGTCAGCTTTTGCCCCTGAAGACCCAGCACCACAGCCCGCGGGGGTTGGACGGCCCCGACCTCACCCCAGAGCCTCGCTGAGCTGAAGGAGATGAACCCTCACAACCTGGCAGGGCTTTGCAGGGACCTGCACAGCCAAGGAAAATCTATTTTCAAGGGAAATATCTTTTTTTTTTT